TTTTCATTGTCTCCCAGGCTGGGTGCTTGTGGCATTTGTCTCCCAGGTTGGGTGCTTGTGGTCGGGTTCCCCGGCGGCTTGTCTCCCTTCCTTTCATTTGTTTCCCACTTCTTTTCAGGCTGGATGGTCTGGTCGGGTTCCCGGCTGGCTTGTCTCCCACTTCCTTTCATTTGTCTCCCACTTCTTTTCATTTGTCTCCCACTTCTTTTTTCAATTGTCTCCCAGTTCTTTTGGGTGCTTGTGGTCGGGTTCCGGTTCCCGGCTGGCTTGTCTCCCACTTCCTTTCATTTGTTTCCCACTTCTTTTCATTTGTCTCCCACTTCCCGGCTGGCTTGTCTCCCACTTCTGGTCCGGTTCCCGGCTGGCTTGTCTCCCACTTCTTTTCACTTGTCTCCCACTTCTTTTCATTTGTTTCCCAGGCTGGGTGCGTTTCCGGCCAGCTTGTCTTCCTTGCATTTGCCTCCCACTTTTCCCCCAAGCAGTTTACTGTTAGGGGTTCTCAATTCTTTCTTGAGATGTGTCCGTCCTTTGTGTCACTGCTGGTGTCCGCCCATTGACACTGGCCATGCAGCATTTCTATTCATTTGTCTCCCGTGTCTGTCGCTGCTGGTGTCCGGCATTTCTATTCATCTCCCAGGTCTGTTACTGGTGGTGTCCGCCCTTGGGCGCTGGCCATGTGGCGTTTCTATTCATTTGTCTCCCAGGTCTGCCACTGGCGTTGCCCGCCCTTTTCCGTTGGCCACGCAGCGCCCCCATTCTTTTGTCTCCCAGGTCTGTCACTGCTGGTGTCCGCCCTTTTCCGCTGGCGATGCAACATTTCTATTCGTTTGTCTCCCAGGTCTGTTCATTTGTCTCCCAGGTCTGTCACTGCTGGTGTCCGCCCTTTTCCGCTGGCCATGCAGCATTTCTGTTCATTTGTCCCACAGGCTTGTCACTGGTGGTGTCCGCCCTTTTCTGCTGTTTCTATTCATTTGTCTCCCAGGTCTGTCACATGTGTCTCCCAGGCCTGTCACTGGTGATGTCCGCCCTTTTCCGCTGGCCATGTAGCATTTCTATTCTTTTGTCTCACAGGTCTGTCACTGGTGTCCTTGTCTATTGGCCACCATGAAGCATTTCTGTTCATTTGTCTCCCAGGTCCGTCACTGCTGGTGCCATGTAGCATTTCTATAAATTTGTCCCCCAGCCCTGTCACTGGTGGTGTCCGCCCTTGTCCGTTGGCCATGAAGCATTTCTATTCATTTGTCTCCCAGCTGTGTCACTGCTGGTGTCCGCCCTTTTCCGCAGGCAATGCAGCATTTCTATTCATTTGTCTACCAGGTCTGTCACTGCTGTGTCCGCCCTCTTCTGCGGCCATGCATTAGTCTCCCAGGTCTGTCACTGTTGGTGTCCGCCCTTTTCCGCTGGCGATGCAAGATTTCTATTCATCGGTGCTGCCGCCCTTTTCCGCTGGCCATGTAGCATTTCTATTCATTTGTCTCTCATGCGACTTCTTTCTTTTTGTCTTTCAGGTTTGGTGCCTGCACTGCTGTTTTCTGCCGCGTGACTGTCTCCGGGAGTGCATTCCTGCCACACTGTGTAACTCTCTCAGCTTTGTTTTCCTTTTCGGGCAAGCGTTGGATGAATGACCGGATTGGATTTTGGCGGCGTGGCGGCGATCTCTCTTTTCAGTTGGGACGGGGAGCATGCGTCAGGCACCAAAAATCAATTTCATGTCACATCCTTCGCTCCTCATGCTTCTATTTCTTGTCCTCACGTGGTCAGCTCCTTGCTGATTGAGCAGCATGACCAGCATCATGTTCTCACTTGAAGAATAATTTCCCAAAAGGTTTACTGTTAGGGCTTCTCAATTCTTTCTTAAGATGTGTCCGCCCGCTCTGTACTGCTGTGTCCGTCTCTGCCTTGCAATCCTTTACGTTCGTCTCCCAGCTCTAAGCTGCTGTGGCCGCCCCTGCCTTGGAATCCTTTGTCTCCCAGCTCCGATTTTGAAAAACACAAACTGTTTGGGGTCTACGGTGGTGTAATTTTTTCCCGGAATTCACGAACAGTTGCCAATCACGAACTTTGTGGCGTTCCTTCTTGTGATTTTTGTGGAACAGACGTTTTTGGGCAACTGTCCTCTTTCAAGTGACTAGTACTATCTTCCAGTGGAATTACAGGGTGCCCCTTTTAGGGGTCAGCATTTTTTTGTTTCTTCCCAAAGCACATGTTGAGATGAAACAGGGATAGAATATACATTGACCTGGTCCCGGACATAGCATGCTGGCATCTGCGCTGGGCCCGTACGCCCTTCGCAAGGCTTTCTTGGGCTCGGTGAAATCGACCCGGCTCGGCCGGGGCTGGGCTCCATGCTGCGCGTTTGCTACCTCTCAGGTGCCTTATGCGTGGAACTGCCTGCCGATGAGTTGGAGGCTTCGTCCACCCGAAGTGAGGCACCGGTGAGGTGCTTGAAAGAGCTCGTGGCCACTCGCACGGGAATCTCCAGGTTTCGACAGCGACTCTTCCAGGAGGGTCGTCCGCTGCAGGATACGGATCCTTTGAGCCCCACTGCAGAGGTGCAGCTGGTGATGCTCGACTATCAAGAGGTTGAAGCAGCTACCAGCAAAGCGTTCATTTCAGCCTGCGAAAGAGGCCGGTCGTGTGAAGTGGAAGAAATGCTTCAATTGCCCTGTGATCCCAATGTGCAAGAACGACGAAGCAAACGAGCAGGCCTCCATCGTGCAGTTGAGAATGGTCACTTGGAAGTCGTGCGACTCCTGCTGGAGGCACAAGCTGACAAAGATGCAGTGGCCAAAAATGGCTTGACCGCTTTGCACTTGGCTTGTGGCCAGGCTGGAGACCAGAAATTAGTTCAACAGCTACTGGAGGCGGGGGCTGCCAAGGATCAGGCAGCTCAGAATGGTTACACTGCTTTGCACTTGGCAAGCTGCCATGCGCACCTGCCAGTGGTGCAAGAGTTGTTGGAGGCAGGAGCTGACAAGGATGCAGAAATAGAAGGTGGCTTTAGAGCTTTATACTTGGCAAGCCAGCGCGGTCACTTGAATGTTGTTCGACAGCTACTGCAGGCACGAGCTGATACCCATGCTTCAGCGCACGATGGCCGCACAGCTTTGCATGCAGCATGTGAGAATGGCCATTTGGAAGTGTTGCAAACGTTGCTGAAGGCAGGAGCCGATAAGGATGCAGCAGCACAAAGTGGCTTTACGGCTTTGCACTTGGCAAGCTGCAATGCACACTTGCAAGTGGTGCAAGAGTTGCTGAAAGCTGGTGCGGACAAAGACCTTCAAGCTCAAGGTGGCTCCACTGCTTTGTTCTTGGCAAGTCAACGTGGGCACTTGCAAGTCATTGAAAAGCTACTGAAGGCAGAAGCTGACGTAAATGCTGCAGCACGAGATGGTGCCACCGCTTTGCACGTGGCATGTAAGAAGGGCCAATGGGAAGTTATTCAAAATTTGCTGGAGGCAGGTGCTGACAAAGATGCTGTGACAGGAGGTGGCTTTACGGCTTTGCACTTGGCAAGTGATGCGGGACACCGGGAAATTGTTCTGCAGCTATTGCAGGCAGAAGCTGACACACGGGCTGCGGCACAAGATGGTCGCACCGCTTTGCACATGGCATGCGACAAGGGTCAAGCAGATGTGGTGCAGGAGTTGCTAAGGGCAGGAGCTGAAAAGGATGCGGAAGCACAGAGTGGCTGTAGAGCTTTGCACTTTGCAAGCCAGGCAGGACACCAGAAAGTAGTTCAACAACTACTGGAGGCGGGGGCTGCCAAGGATGCAGCGACTCAGAACGGTTACACCGCTTTGCACTTGGCAAGCTGCCATGCGCACCTGCAAGTGGTGCAAGAGTTGTTGGAGGCCGGAGCTGACAAGGATGCAGAAATAGAAGGTGGCTTTAGAGCTTTGTTCTTGGCAAGCCAGCGCGGTCACTTGAATGTTGTTCGACAGCTACTGGAAGCAGGGATGGACAAGGATGCGGCCTCTCAAAATGGCTATACTGCTTTGCATGTGGCATGTGAGAACGGCCAATTCGATGTCGTGCAAAGCTTGCTGAAGGCGGGGGCTGACAAACACGCGAAGGCACGCAGTGGATACACTGCTTTGCACTTGGCTAGCTGCAATGCACAATTAAAAGTGGTGCAAGAGTTGTTGCAGGCACGAGCTGACAAGGATGCTGCAGCACAGAACGGCTACAGAGCTTTGCACTTTGCAAGTCGCAATTCAAGCTGTCCAGTGGTGCAAGAGTTGTTGGAGGCCGGAGCTGACAAGGATGCAGAAATCGAAGGCGGCTTTACAGCTTTGTACTTGGCAAGTGAGGGCGGGCACTTGGACGTTGTTCGACACTTGTTGGAGCGGCGAGCCGATGCACGTGCTTCAGCACACGATGGCCGCACGGCTGTGCATGCAGCAAGTGAGAATGGCCATTTGGAAGTGTTGCAAACGTTGCTGAAGGCAGGAGCCGATAAGGATGCAACAGCACAAAGTGGCTTTACGGCTTTGCACTTGGCGAGTCAGTGTGGACACTTTGACGTGGTCGAACACTTACTGCTGGCAGGAGCTGACAAGAATGCCACAACACAGGACAACTCAACTGCTTTGGATTTATCGGCTGAGAATGGCCACAAGAAATTGGCGCAGTTGCTACTTGAGTTTGGGCTGCCATTCGATGACGACCATCATGTGGAGGTGCAGTTGTTAGAAAGAGTCGATTCTGGCTAGCGCAGACAGTGCGTATGCCATGCTGCAAAATCCAGAGAATGCTGCTGAACTGCTCAGCCATTGCGCCACACCAGGCATACGGCATAGGTCTTGGCACAACCAAATTTCCTCAGCATCATACCAGACAGGCAAATCTGATGGGTTATTTTGCAGATTGCAGCTTGCACCCCGAACCCATCCACCCCCGCGATGAAGACAAGACCACCAGAATCCCTTGGCAAGACTGAGTCAACAGTAGGGATCCGTTTTTACTTCTTGATGTGCCCATCGAATCAATGTTGTTCAGGAAGGTCACGACTACAGGGGATCGGTCATGCTGTAGCTGCGTAGCTCAAAGAGGTCGAGGGACCTCGCAGGCCTTCCGACCCATAGTAGGGAACATGGACCAGTCAGCCCAGCCAGGGGCGAGATGGCCAAGGGGTTTTCTACCTATTTTGAGCTACACACCTAGAGTCATCCTGAACTAGATAGAATACGGGACAATCCGAAATCAATAGGACACTTGTGTTTTTGGATTGGTTCATATTCTATCTACTCCAGGATTCTTTTACATACAAGTCACCTCCGAATCTTGCTTCCTTCACCGCCTGGCAGCCTGGCTGGGCCGAGTCGCTCCCGAGGTCGACAGGTCTTCGAGGAGCTGAAGGACATGTCCGGATCTGATCGAAGAAGCGGATGTCACGCACTGAGTGCTGTACCCGGAGCATGAGTGAGGTTTTAAACAATACGGATGTTTCATGCTCATGTAGAAGGCCAATATATACTGTACATGGTCACCCTCAAGTCTTTTGGAGCTTTTCGGAGTACCACCGCCTCCATAGATCAGGAAATCACTGAACATGCTCTCCAAGAGAGGGCCATCCCGCTTCATATCTTCCCCCCCCCAAACACCAACAGAAAGCAACAAAGCATCCTTTTTTCCCTCCTGCTTCCACGTTCTCCACCTTCTCCTTCGACCGCCTCCGACCTCCCCAGGTGCAGCTGCGCTGCGCCACGCGGCGCAGCAGCTCTCCGCGGCGCTCCAGCTGCCCACGGAGACGGTGCGGGGGGCGCCCCGGGCGGGTCCGGGGACTGTTGGGTCCGGTCATGCGGTGTGGGTCCGGGACCATCCGGCGGTAGAGGAGTCTTTTTCGGCGTGGAAGCCATGTGGTTTTGGGGGCCCACGTGCTTGGGGGCTTCGTTGGACTGCGGACGGAAGGCTGACGTGAACACCCAAACCCAAACACTGTGTGCACTTCAGGTGTCGTTCACCAGTTGGGGCGTGACCGCCTTGGTTGAACCACAATCCTCCGAGAACCTCAGTCTTTCCGGGGGACAAGAACGGAGCATCAATGCAGAGTATCGAAAGGGTGCAAAGCGCCCGAGACAACGCACAAACAGAATGCTGAAAAAGATCAGATGATACAACATCTACATGAACAAATACAAGCTTATGAAACTAAAATGCATGAAAAGAAAGAAAGTAAAATGCAAGAAAAAATTCAAAAGATGCACATTGGGTATTGAGAGGTCTATTTTTGAGAAAGCCCATGCGATCTTCCACCAGGTTATTTGAAAAAACCCAGCGCTGGGCCGCTGGGTGTCTTGGTGTCATCCCCTTCTCAAAGTGGAGAGATTGCAGTGTGGCTGTGCCTCTCAGATTCACACAATTCGCACAGTTCCCTGGGGGGAACAGAGCCCAAGACCGCCCTTTTTTGCGGGGAAGGAGGGGAAGGCCGTTTCCCCCACTGCTCTCTCGGTCGGTTGGTGGAAGCCACATGGTGGGGGACCACCTGCTCGCTTGAGAGAGTTTGCCTCAAGTCACCGAAGACCGGTCCATGTCTGCCCCGGTATCTCCTTTTCACCCAAAGCAGAAAAGACATGAAACGAAAGCATTTACATCAATCCGGCCCCTTTTCCGTAGGTCGCAGTAGGGTATCTGTATCTGTATCTGTACAAAACGCGCGCAGGCCCATTGACCCGCAGCTGGTTCGACAGCGTGCATTGATGAAACACCTGCAAGTTACAAGCATCAGATACTAAGCATCTGGCTATAGCGGAGAATGCACGAACATGCCATGGGAGTTGGCACTGCCAGCACAGCCTGAGCTGTGAATCACTTTCACCGAGCGACACCGAGCGTCACTCGTTCTCAGGACACACCGAGCTGCGAAACACCTGCCACTCTCCCCGGAGTCTGCATTGAGCCATTGAGTTTCTAGAAGGTCGGAAGGTCTTGGTGACTGAACAATTCTAAGTTCTGCGCCAACCTGTTTAGAATTCTAGCAAAAGGTGTCGCAGGAATTTGAGCAAACACCAGGAACCTTTTTCCATCTCCCCACCCCAAAAAGACCCACACCAAGCCCACCGAATCCCAGGACCTGACTTCATCTACCCACACACCCCACAACACACTCCACTGTCACTCTCCCACGTTCAGAACGGGTCTCCACCCACCTCCCCAACGGACGTGGTGCCGAACTCCGGAACCTGCGCTGCGCTGTGTTGCTTCGCATGGATGGGACGGGCTTGATCTTCTCGGCGGAAGTGAACGATGTGGCCATCCGGGCCGTGGCGGCCAACAAGAGACGCTCGGTGCTGCGCTCGTGCTGCGGCGGTTTCCGCGGGGCCGATGGACGGAGGTTTCCGCGCTGAATCCGGGTGTCCAGTCGAGTGAAGAGGAGTTTTATATAGAACTCATCGTGGGTTCTAGAAAACGAATCTTATAGCCTTATAGTGGCCTTATAGTGGTAGCCTTTTCTTGAAGGAGATGGTGTGGAGAACTTATACCCGCCCCTTCCCCATATGATGGCACTAGTTAAAAGTGCTCAATATGCCATCATATCCCTATCGGAATGAGTTGAAATTGGATGTGAGCGCATAGATGGCACACTGTGAGGACAGGAGTACAGTCAGACCATATTGATGGTCGGTTGAGGATGTGTAAACATGTGCCATCATATACACAGAGACTCACACATTGAACGCGTCAAACAAAAGCAGTACGTGCAAACCCTATTGATGGTTTTTCTCTTCCTCTTTCCTTTGTCTCTTAAACTCTACTCTCCCGTTTTCTTCCTGTCTATCTTTTCTGTTTCTTTTCATTGCCCTGCTCTTTCCTCTCTTCTGACTCCTGTTTCATTGTGGTCTGCTCTCTCTTCTTTTCGCTTCTTTCTCCTTTCAATCCCTTCCAGTCTTCCCTCCCATCCCCTCTCATGTGCCATCTTAGTGTTCCCACATTCATACACAGCCTCCCCTTTCAATGGAGGAAACATGCCGTGAACTGTGGCCAACCTCGGTCGGTTTCCCTCCAAGAGACGTGGACGCGTCGGCCATCACGTTTATTGGCCATGCCGGGGGAGGCCGAGGAAGTGCCGGGCTCAGGTGGATACCCAACCCCACCCCAGTGAACCAGCCTGGATCGAAACACTGTTTTCCACACCACATCCACTGTTCACCTGCACTCTCGAGGATGTCCAAGCCAGAGTACGGTGCCACAGCCCCACCAAAGCAGAAGGCGACCCGTTCGCTGCAGCATTCACCGCATTTGTCCACGACTCCCCACGCACCACACATGCCGACAAGCGCAGACTCTTTGTCTTAGCTGCAACGGACAAGTTACACTGCCAAAGACAAGGTTTTTGTTGTACTTTTTCCAGGTTGCTCAAAGGGAGCACTGTTTTCCATACCGTGTCTCAGTGTGGCATAGGAGCAAGTCGTCACGCGCACTCAGATCACGGGTTTACCCAAATCGCCCTTGACAGGGGAAGCGGTGGGGCGTGCTGCGGACGCTGGAAGTGAAGCAGGGTTGAAGGCTGTTCCAGACGACGTCACATTCACATGGGCGTTCTGCAAAGCCTTCTAAGGCGTGTGACAGAACTCTATTGTTCTTTGTGTGGTCAACCGTGCAAAGAACATTGAGAAACCACCATGTGGGAGCCGATCCTGTTCGCACGCCTCTGTTTTTGCCTTGCTAGCTTCCACGGTTCTTGGCTTTGGCCTGACAGTGCATGCAGTGTAGATGATCTACTTTGAAGAATTGCACAGAGAGGGGCGTGTGTTGGTATAGAGCACCTATAGTGTTGCGCGCAAAGACCTAGTTCTCTTGACTCGACGCTGACAGGGGAATCGCCAGGCTGACGCAGCCGCAGCACCGGAGCGTGCTGGGGATGCTGGAACTGAGTTGAAGGCTTTGCTGTTTGAGCCATCGACCAATTCGAGTGGTCTTCTGTGGATAAGATACACAGCCGACACCTACCACAGACGACGTTCTTGTGATACTTTTGAGAGGGTGGTCTACTACCCACTCACCCTCGAACCGACGTTGCAATCACATGGACGTTTTGAGAAGCCTTGTCAGCCCTATAACAGAACTGTCTTCTTTTCTTGTGGTCAACCATCAACAAACATTGGTCACCGCCCGGTTGGAGCCGAGCTACAGCCCACGTGCTCAGCTTAGTAATTGAGATATTTTGTTTTCTTCATGCTCCGCAGGCGCATGATACATACTTATAGTGTGACATGGAGCCACAAGGGTAGTAGTGAAACTATGATACTACCAATAATCATGACAATATGCGATGAATATCATGACAATTATACACAGCTAAAAAAGGCTGATCAGGAGTAAATAGTACGACTCAACCCACCCCAACGCCGGACAAGAACTGTCCAACTTTTAACCCGACCCGGCAACACACACGCTCACTGAGGTCGAACCTATGCGCACGCCGTCCGAGCCTGCATACACCCGCGCGCAAGACGCACAACCCAAGGCAAGTCCTTCACAGGGACGTCGTCCGTCGCCCTTCACCGGGACCCACCCCTTGTTCATACAACTACCTGAAAGAATCGCGATTGTGCCTCGAAAGGGCTGTGGACACCTTCATACTGCGTAGCCCCCGTATAGATCTCTCAACCACGCAATCGCAGAAGAAGCTCTCACCTCACGCAACAGCGGGCTGGGAAGCGAATGATGCAGGCGGAGTGCAGAAGGAGACGCTGGGCGCGAATACTGGTTGCTATGTTCTCCTTTGAACACCCGTCCGCAGGAGAGGCAACAGAGCAGCTGCGCCCGCTTAGCAGATGCGGGCCTGCTGCGGCAGAACACTCCGCAATCGAAAAGAAAACAACGAACCGATATGACATCGCATGTGTTCCAAAATGAGCCGAATTATGTGTTCCAGAAGGAGCTGAGACGAACAAATTCTGCATGGTCCGAAATGAGCTGAATCATGTGTTCCCACATGAGCCTTCTCCCGAAGGGTAAGAGGGGAGAGAAGTGGGAGATTGAGGAAGAATGTGCCAACACTAAGATGGCACATGAGACGTCCCGGTCGCGTCCCTGCTGCCGGCGCAGGAGACGCCTTACGAAAACCATGACAACGTACCAAATCGTGGAGTGCATATTTGGGCGGCAAATTGAACAGGGCTGCCTACCGTTCTTTTGGCGTCAAATCCCACAACCAATTTTGATTGGATAACTATAACAACTGTCCAAAGTACGGTGTGCAGTCTGCAGTTTTCATTGATATTCAAAAAAAAACTTGCACGTGCTTGCGAAGTCTTGAAGACGGGCAACTCCCTTTGAGGCACCACCGCAAGCGTCCAAGCGGCAGCGGCGCAAAGCGGCGTGGCTGGCCAAAGCCAAGGTGATCTCGGCTTTGGGGTGAGCGTGCGTGGCATGGAGGGTATCACTTGTCACAACACTGTACTCCAACCACCGGTTTCAATCTTGCTTTTAACAGCACCCCTGGATCATTTGATTCTTCCCAAAGAATAGTTTCCGGATCGGCCGGGCCATGCGCCTTCTTTTTTAATCGCCTTCATGATCTGGGGTTGTCCCTGGTCCTACAGCCTCCACGACTACCTCTAGTACACCCTGGTACCACTACTACTAGACGACGACTACTACTATGACCACCACTACCACTACCACTACCACTACTACTACTACTACTACTACTCCTGCTACTACTACTACTACTACTACTACTAATACTACTACTATACTACTACTACTACTACGACGACTACGACTACGACTACGACTACGACTACG